GCCTATCCACAAATATGAAGGAAGAACAGCTTACTTAAGGACTTCTCGATTGCATGGCGAAGGTCTAAACCCACGCAATACTCGAGCAGAAGCTACTGGGTATCAAGCCTTCAGGCTGGTGGGAAGACCTGCCGCCAGTTTATGGTGTAAAAATAATCAGTGAAGTATTCCCCCGAGGTTTCAGCACAAGACTTATAGGGTATTTAGAGAGCAGCAGCTGCAGTTCTGATGCCAAAAATGGTGTTTGACACCCCTCAAACCATGGAATGCACACCAATTCGCTAGAGGTACTTTTACCACTTCCAGAGTTTAGGAATACCCTGGATTTTTTTTTTAAAGAACTTCCCTAGACCGCCCTCTTCAGTCTTGTCGTTGACCATCAGCACCCCAGCTGGTAGTTTCTCGCGTTTAGATGGTTGTGAAACATATATCTACCTAAGTGTATCAAATATGTAGCGCACTGGTGTATAGATGATATGCATGTATTATGGATCTATGCTAAGAAAAGACAACAAGTTTTGTTTAATGAAGATATCTTGAACTAAAACAGGAGACCAGCGCGCCAACTAGCTCTGCTCACGTCGGACGCAGAGAACGGGGTGAACGGTCCTTATGCTCCATAGTAACGCAATGTTGCATACTTGGCTGCTATTCAAACAAGTAACTTGCATGAATGAAGGCGTTTTTATTAGAAAAGCGACATTATTTGACGTAATCTGAGCTGTAGTGCTTCGCGTTAAAAACCAGCAAAACTTGAGACACAGAGAGTATTTATTTTGCCACGATGTGGAATCTGGCGGCACAGCTATGCTCGGGTGTGAGCAGCGTTGCATAGCAACAAGACGTTTCGTTTCACATATATTCTGGGCGAGATCGTGAAAAATTTTCACAACACACAAGCACAGGAGTATTACTGTACATTCAGCTGAGTGATATTATGAAAACTAAAATGCGATATGTTTCGTAGAGAATGGTAAGGTCAAAACACGATTTTGATGCAGAAACTAACTCAAAGTATTTGATTTTTTTTCACTAAAAATGAGAGAATGTCCGCCATGTTTTTTCGTCTCACGGCCGGGAGTTTCGAAACGCTGCATGTGACTGCTGGACGCAAAACAATATGAAAAGAATAGGCAGAAAAAATGTAACAGTGATACAATTTAAGGGCCATTATTGTAACCCCTCTACGTTTTTGCACTTTGGACAATCGTAGCCAGGTCAACGTTTTTATATGAGACTGGGTTGATCATTGAGTAAACTGACAACCCCTGACTAAGTGACATATTTTTTGGATATTTATATCCATACTTTTATGGTAAATGGTAAATGGACCTGTATTTACCATTGTATAGCGCCTTTCTAGTATCCAACCACTCAAAGTGCTTTTACACTACGTGCCACATTCACCCTTTCACACCCTTTCACCCAGTGATGGCGAAGCCCATGGAACAGAAACTAACTCATTCATACACATTCACACACTGATGCACAGCATCAGGAGCAATTGAGGTTCTTGCTCAAAGATACTTCGAAACGTTGTGGGAGGAGCCGGGGATCGAACCAACAACCTTCCGATTAGTGGACTTTGACTTACTGCCTCTGAGCCACATTTATATTTTTATATATACTTAATGCATAACAATAACAGTAGAGAACACCTGATAAATTGTACAATGAACACAAATAATCAACATGATAACTGCAGGTAGTAATTGGATTTTTTTCAATGTCAATGTTTATATCAAATACATTTTTCCTGGAAAAGGCAAATCGTGAAGAGCTGTGAAAGCTGTGAAAGATGTTTTTTCTTATCTTTGTAAGAGTGCTCTCAACCACTCATAGAAAACTAAACAAAGAAGACCTAAATCAGTGGGTACTAACAAAATAAAAACAAACTCTGGAAACAAACAAAAATAAGAGAAAATTTGTTCATAGATTGCTTCCCACACAAGGCCTATTGTTCCTCTATATTTAACAATAATCAAGGTAACAACCATTAGGATGTACTCAGCCAACTTTTATTCTTACAGATTTTTAGTTGCACACCTCTGAATCTGAGCACAGACAAATGTATATGTCTATTCAATACAACTTCTGATTACGGATGTTTAGAACATCGTCCAAATTTATGAAATGATTTTTGGGGATTATTGATCGTTTATAACTCATGCTCATTGATCTACATTTTTTTAAGATAATTTACAAATGTCAGTAAACATCATGACCACTTATGAAATAAATTCAACCTTTACAAAGCTCCTGTTTGTTTGCTAACCCTAACCATAAAAACAAAAAAATTACTCCAAACTTAAATCTACTCTATACTGAAATAAACCAGTGTATGTACGTATGTATGCACTCCCTTGAATCACACTCCTTCCAGTTTCTCAGTTTCTCTTGCTAGTTGAAAGCCATATAAAGCATAAAATACTTCTGAAAAGGTGAATTTTCAGCTGTTCTGGGTTGGATGTGTGGCAGAGTACCTGTGTTCACCAGAGGACAACATCTTCAACGTAAACTTCTCACGCTTCAAGATCAGGGACCTGGGCAGTGGAGCAGTCATCCTTGACATCAAAAAACACGGTCCAACAGGTACTTTTTCATCTCTTTGTTCTTTTTGAACTGCTGAATCTTATCAGGAAAATGTAAGTCTAAAGCCCTGAAAGAAGCTCCATTAGTCCTGACAGCCTACAGGGAAATGTATTATGTATGTATGTTATGTATGTTATGTATTATGTAATGTATGAACAACACAGGCTGCTGAAAATGTATGTGTACTATAATAACTTGATTAGCTGTTTTGCCGTCTGTCTGTTTGATTGGGCCCAAATCCCCACATGAAAAATTTGGAGCAAACCTGAACCAAGTCTGACCATGGAAACAACCTGAATTTCTAAATAATAAAATAATAATAATAACTAAAAAATGTATATAGTTTATTGCACGCTAAAGTAAACTACATTGTGCATATAATATAGTGCAAATTATTATCAAAACTAATACATAACAAAATTACTCATTAATCACAGTTGCGTGTATTATTA